AGACTACCACAATGATCGATCTCAAACCTTCAGATTTCTGAGGCCAATGGTCTTACTTGTCTTCCTCAACCTACTATACAGTACGACAATTACATATGTTTTCAGAGACTGATCAATTGTAGTCCCAAATATCAGCAACTATTTGTTATGGCGAATTTTGTTGCCGATTTTAGCAAGAATATAGTATAAGGACGAGCAACAAAACAACCTCATTCAATTTACTAATAGTTCTTAGCCAATCAGAAAATAGCTTATACAAATTAATAGTTTATGGAAAAGTAAACAATAATGTTATAAACTGTAAACAGGTTTCACGCATGTAATACGTCTGTTTAAAGCTTCTAAAACTTATTCTGTCAGTAAATGATAGAAAAACCACATTTAATTTGTCTTTATGAACAAAGAATATCCACTTCCATGAACTCTTGAGGATCAAAATTAATATTAGAGTCCTCAATGTTCTTGGTTGAGATTAGGTATTTAAGGTTAGAACTAAGTGTTTAGGGTTAGAGTTTTCATCACGCGCCGAAATCATCTATGGTGGAAACTTGCTTTGTAGTAATATGGATGAATGACTTTCACGCCAAAATGCACGATACACTATCTGGTTAGTTCGTCAATAAAATACAGTGCCACTAGGTTGTTTTGTTTTCTCCAGGATTACTGGTTTAGGGTTAGAATTCAGAGGTAGTCCCAATTTACCAGTTATATGTAATCTAGGGAGACAAAACTGAACAATATGGTTCACACTGTATGGAACTATGAACAACGGCTAGCTTATGTATATCAATCGAAGAAAACATGTGATCTAATATTTTATGGTGATTCACTGATCTTAGTTCTAAACAATTCACTTTGTAGGACAAATCAAAGAGAATATTTAAAATACAAAAATAGTGGAAATGAAGAATAAACCCAAAAAAAAATTATTGGATAAAACATATAAAATGCTCATATTATGGAATATACATACATTTGCACTGCATTTTCATTCATTTCCAAAGATACTACCCAAAATTGTTATCAGATATTTCAATACGTCTATTTTCAAGTCTCTTTAGACCGAAGCCTTATTCTAACAAGATGTTTTACAATGTTCTATTTTCATTAAAGTCAAGTTTAAATTTCACTCCTTTATCTACATTCGTTTAGAGCAGTCTGAGGTAATAGCGTTAGTCCTCACAGTGACTCATTCACTGATCACTTGGATATGAGCCACACTTTAAATGTGTAGGTGGAGCGGGCTTGGAACGTAGAACTTAGTGGTTTAAACCGCCAAGCCTAAAGCGTCGACTACATAAACTTGTACTTGCCATATGGGTTGCATCCTTATTACTATAATCAGACTTTTATTTTTGCCTATCAAATAGTTGTTCTTTTTTCTGCTTGTACTTTTTACACACTTCATCTAAGAGCTAATATTTTTACATGAAAGTATTGTTATCGTTTATAGTAAACAATTTCTAGAGATGAATCACACCCTACATATATGGTCGATGCCTATTTTATTGAGTTTTAGCCTCTAAACAAACAAGTTGCTTTTTGTTTACATTCGAATTATTTTTAAGATTTGTTTAAAGAAGTCATACATTGGGAAGGAAATACCAATACTATGATCATCTCTTCGATGCTACATAAACCTGTGTACACTTTTTTCTCTATATTGATTAGGTTTCACTATGTCTGTTTTCTTTTACCAATGTTATTTCCATTTGATGAATTATTTATTATAAGGTAACTATATCTATGTTTTCACTAATCTCCGAGTTCATCTATTTCATTTGACTTGATCGAAATGTTGATAAATTAATAGCAACAGTAATAGAAGATGAATGTGTCGAGTATTTTCAAGGTCATATAAGTTTGAATTTCTTTGCATCAAGTACAATCTAGCTAATATCAACTTGGTTATGTTTCTGTTCATTTTTTTCTATAATGCAAAAATCAGATAAGATTTCAATAGGATGAATGTTCTCTGAACACTCTCTGCTGAAATAAAATTTAGTTTGTTAAATAGCTACCTCTTGTCCTGCTGAGTAAGTTTCATGACCAAACTATTCATCTTAGAGTGCACAACTATTCACATTCTTCGTAATTTCATTATGTATTAATCATGTAGTACGGTTTCAATCATAAACAACATTATCGATAACTAATGGATTTCAATTTATTATGTTTATTGGTGGATATATCACTGTAGATTACATTTTTAGATAAACAAAATTTAAAATCTGTTTTCTATTTATAATCGTTAAATAATACTCTTTATATTTTTAACATGAAATTTAATTATTTATTTTTTATCCGAATAGGGTTTTGCCAATATCGTAGTACTTTTAAATAGTCTAATTCATGAGTCGATTAAAGTTAGATCACCATGGAAAACCTGGAAGTACTAGACAGTCGTTTCGTCCTAGTAAGAGACTCCTCAGTAGTGCGCATCCACGTTCCCTCACGTGGGACTCGAACCCGAGACCTTCGGTCTTGCGGGCAAAATGCTTAACTTCTAAACCACTGAACCGGTATCCAACACTGTTAATGTCTAACTTCAACCAATCCACAATATTGCTCCACCATTGTCTTCAGTGAGTAACTACCTCTACAACACAGTTGAGCTCCATTGGCCATAGCTTCTCACTAGAACTTCAGGAAATATCTCATGAAGCCAGCCACTAGCGTCTCACGTGCAAGATTATAGATGCCCACTTCTTCCAGACATATTTGTTTATTTTTTCTACGATTTTAATTTAAATTTCAAATTTGTATCCAATTTTTTTTCACTTCGAAATTCTGAATATCACTCATGAAACTGATTAATGTATATTGATTTTTGTCATTGTTTTTGATTTAATCTATTACTTAATTACTTTTTATATATAGTAATATGAAAAGTGTATTTTCATTTTGATTTCTAATTGAAATAAAAACAATGCGAGAGCAGAAAAAAAACTAAGATATAACCTAATATTCATTAACAAATATCACAGTTACACACTATTAGTACTTGATAACGTGTATAGAAGATTACGTAACATCGTTATTTGTTTATGGATGCATTACTTCATATGTTGTTTCCATTGTTGTAATTGTTAGATCAAAATTGTAAAAGTACAAATGATTAGAAAATTGTTTGTTCGTTTTTTTTTTGAAAAAGAAAGGGGAATCGATCAAAAAGCCCTTACGTAATGACTTATTTAATAATAGATTCTTGTATAGTTTATTTCTTCTTTTTTTTTGGTGGATCAATGAATTGATTATTGTTTGCTCAACACGTCATTCATAAATTAATTATATACCGAGTAGAATCCGATCTCTAATGACTCATCGTCTTTATTATTGTATCATGTTGTTCAATAGATTAATCTTTGAACAGCATTAAGTATAGGTGTTGGTTAATAATATTTTAAAGAGAAAAAAGAAAGATTTATCTTGAACACTTGACTACATTTTGATCTGAGTATAAATCATGATGCAAATTTATGTTTATATTTAAAGTTAACCTGTCTGAGTTTCGATTACCTAGTTTGTATGACTCATAACCTGACTGAAACTTGAAATAAAAATAGTCATCGATTGTGACCAAACGTTTACCATTACAAATGAAGGATGTTTAAGAAATACGTAATTATTACTCTACAGTTGATCTTATTAAAATAATACTTAGATCGATATAGTACAGGCACATCTTAGCTATAATGTTATGTGTATGTCAACAATGTCGTTTTTCATAGTTTGTTTTCAAAAGGTAAAGATCAGCTTTCTTTAACGACTGGTAAATGATGTATTTTGTGTTAATTTATCCTTCTTAATGTGAAATAATTCATTATGGTCTTCAAAATCAAAGTATTTTGCATCATATATATATTTATTCGATCAACGAAAGGCAGTTTAGGTGTATTTTTTAATAAAGAAAAACACATGGAAATCAAGCCACCCTGAACTAATTACCACTAGTGACAAATACTGAGGACGAACTGAGGCTTCTTTTATGATTGTTCTTTCTTCCATCATACACTCAACAGTACAGCTTTGCTCTAAGTTGAACAACTTTGAAAGATAAAGAAACATTTCATATCTGTTTGACTTCTTCCAACCAATTTATAAGGTGCTGACAAATGAGAAAAGCTTCGGACACCTATATGTTTATCCCTATAAGTTCTTATTGTAGAGGTTGAGTTTTTCAGTAAACCAGCTTTGTATTAAGGTTAAGTCGTGCTCATAGAAGACAATGGATATTGTCCCTCTCCCAGTTGTATTGAAGATTGAATGAAGCTACCAGACTAAATCTAAAAACTTACTAGACGGTTTAATCTTTTGACTACATTACTGATATGTTTTTAATGCTTAAACGTCCCGATATAGTTATCTGAATTCAATTTTAATTTTCAATATCAATTTGTAATGCACAATCTTTCTTCTGTTTGCTCACATTAACTTTTAAATTCTGTCTGACTGCTTTCTTTTTAACTGTAAAAGGCAAGGATATGTCTTTTTTGTTAGTATTCAATTTGAAATTAATATTGTCACAGTTATGACCACAAGATTAACCATCAATGAAATGCATGATTAAATGCACAAACTTACCTATTGTAAAATCCTTTGATTTCCAGTTTTCTCTTGTACTCAGGTTCTTGTTTCATTTTTTATAACAGAAGTTTGCATGATGCAATTAATGATGTACACACACGTTAATTACGTTTCTAAATAAATCTCACTTTACTGTTGTCTTTTAAAATGCATAAAATGCAAAATCACTTCAGAAACAATTCGACCTTCACAACATTGAGGTGTATGTTGAGTTTATGCAAAACAGTTTAGGACATCTTTTTATTTTTGAATTGCTTTGTTGCAGTTATTCATCAGTCTATTCAGCTATGTCCCATAGCTTAATTAATTAATTAATATGCTTATGTGACATTGATGATGATATTATAGTGAATGATTTTTATATCTTTTCACTTCGTTTTTGATTGTTTGCTTGTTTTATTGATTTTATGTAGTCCCAAATGGGGTCAAATCAGTCAACAAAGATCTAGGACCGTTAACTTTGCCACCATCGGCATTTTCCGCGAGTTCCGTGTATCAGAATAAACCGGAATATCAAGCACATAAAGCGAAGTAAGTGTTGTTTTTTTAAATTTCGTTCGTTTCTGAAAGGTACTGTCTTGTCGACATGCTGCTTCCGTTTTCCTTTTTCAGATAAATTTTGTTTACCATACAATATTCTAGAATTAAATGTCCGTCGTACATTGAGTTTATGGTATATTTTGATTGATAACTATTTCATTTAAACATATAAACATTGATACAAAGGGGCATCAAAATATATATGTGCCGCATAAATGATAAATTTTATATGTGGGCTGGGATACTGCCTGAGTCCCCAAAGCGAAGCAGACAGTTTTCTTAGGGGACCACTCTCCGAACATTTGAACCAGAAGTCTAATCAACAATGAATTTAAGCAACATCAGAAAATGTGGTCCCATGGAAGTCAGTGACCACAAATAGGTTCACATTTCACATTTTCCATCAGGATCCTGGAGCCTATGTTGCACCATTGGTTTGAAATTAGGGTTTTCTAACTAAAATAGGTGGATCATCTGTACTCACTGATCCGGCTTACGCGTCGGACATTCGCTTTTCATTCTCCAAATTTCGTGATCTGACCTAATTTGATTTTAAAAATATTTTGGACATTTCAATTTTGTAATAATTGGGAGGTCCTTTACTGTTATCTCTTGTGACTAGGTCCTGTATAAGCCTGTTGCTTGCTAATTACGGATCTATTGAGCTTATCCTAATACGAACTTGTTCTGTGGTATATTCGATAGAACACTTCAACATTAGTAATCCATACGCTAATATGAGGTAGCGAAGAGAGGACGTTCAAGATAGTTTTGTATTTTGAAAATGGTCAGAAACTAAAATATACCAACCTCGTCTTTATTGTAACAAACTAAAATTAACAACAGTCAATCAGGTAATGGCAAAGATCATTGGGGAAATATGATTTTTAAAAATGTCATCAAGGTTATCTTTTTGAGAAAGAATTGACGTGTGCTGAAGCAAAACTAAATAATTCCAGCTCACTTTAGCATCTCCCATGTTTAACGTGAAATAAAGTATTCAGTAACATGGTATAAACTGTATTTTTCGGTATGTGTTTCGATTGATAGTAATTGTCTCTCGTAGTAACCATAAAATAATTTATCTACACTGTTTGGAGTGGTACTATTTGCTGCAGACTATTATGATCTCAACTGGTAGTTATAGGGTAAGTTGTACTGTACAGTTATTCTGAAACTGAGCATTTGTAAGTTTCAATCTGATCATCACTTTTTAATAGATACAAAAACAGTATTCTCATCCTTAATTTATTAAGTTCTTTGTACCACACAGTCAATTCTACATTTCATCCTTTGTACAAATTGGTTACTATAAGCAACAATTTCATCTCTAATAATTCGAAATATTTTTAATTTAACCAATCAGCCTAGTTATTCCTAGAAGTCCATTTACACTTGTCTTTGAATCGTATATTTTTCTATAATTTAAACCAATTAGTCCATTTTATAAATTTCGATTGATCAACTCCGTCTTCTCATTGTTCTATCGAAATATATTTTTCTAGGTTAAGGGTTAATGTGATATGATTTGGTTGCTCAAATTGGAATATGCGAGGGGAGACTTGTACCAGCAAGTAACTTATTGAAACTCAACCGTTTCAGACAATTAAGCTACCACTTAACTTGTAAACGATTAAAACTTTCCCGTTCTTGATATTATCTGGACTTTTGTTCAGTTTTACTTGGCATAGGTGCATCACGTGCACATTGGCCACATTATCATAATATTTTATTGAATAGATCGATTATAGGTAATAGTGGGACCCAGGACGCACACTTCCTATTTATGGTGTACCTTCATCCCAATATTGATGTTCAAATAACGCACAACGTTTAATCCACTGAACTCCTAAGTCCAGATGTAATCTCTAGTTTGTGTGATGGGTATGAATTTGATAGAACAAAACGCGCATCCTGAATTCCATCGCTAGTCATAATCCATCTATTTAATTAACCTAACATTTTCATGCTATCCACAAAGATTGTGAGCTACTTAAACCCTTACCCACCCTTTGATATTTACTTTATTATTTCAAATAGATTAACCACTATTTAGTTTATATCTGTATATCAAATTGAACTATTTGGTTGTAAGATTCTCTAGCTTACACCGGTTTTGATGTTTCTGTAATATTCATTTGCCTGTTAGATTCGAATTAAAATTCTCTACAGTTTTATCCATTCGTATTATTCAGACCGCCCTCAAATGCCCTGGTATGGCTGAGGGTGGGAAGAGTCAGCTCTTTCTCTCCAAATACTCTCACATAGCCACATGTATACAGCCAGTGGCACGGAAGTCCTACTCACTTCCTTCTCGCGGCGGGAGTGTTGTTTTCGAAATTAAGAGGACAAAAAGCGAATGTCCGGCGCTTAAACTAGGTTGGTAGATATGGAGGGTCCACCTAGGTGACTTGGAAAGCCCTGATTCCAAATCAATGGTACACATGAGCTCCAGGATCCTGAGGAAACAAATGGAGCATGGCACCCGGACAGTATCACAGCCCACACACAAATCCAGTGACTTTTGTGGTGCATATGTATTCGGTGCCTCTTTCTACTAGTATTTATGTGTTCAAACAAGAAATTCAGACCCGTCGTTCATAGTCGGTGTAACCGCTACTATTATATAAAGCCAGTATCTTCAAAACACAGTCTGTATTGACCTAAATGGTCGGAATATCGGTGGCATGGCTTGCGGATCTTTGTATTATGTGATATTTTTTTGGTTATCTATCTGTAAATTCGGAGATCTTGTTTGGGCTGGTACTATGTCAAGCCCACATAGGTTATTCTAGTCTCTGGACTGATCGATCTATTCATTCTTCTCAAGCCACATCATAACCCTGTCATTTATTCGCTTACCTTGACTGTTTTTATGTAAACGTATATGTGTGCGTTTCTTATCTTACCTCATCCCATGTCTCTAACTTATTTTTGTTCGACCATAAATATCGATTCACGCTTGGTTAAATTGAGTTGGCTTACTCGCTTTCTCCATTATGCGTCACTTTACTTTTCTTTGCTTCCGACCAACGATTATACAAAATACACGTGTTCGAAATCCATTCACTTATTTGACTTATTTAGTTCCGTTATTCACTATAGCGATTTAAGTCGATGATTATATATGAGGGTAGCCAGAATGTATATTTTGACAACAATCATTCAGTAACAAGCAGCAAACGATCCTATTATCTCCTTCATCTCATCGTCTGGAAGTAAAATCGGTATCACTAAACTCGCTTTTCCTCAACTGCTCGATAATTTTAATTCATTTGGCAAGATACTTTGATTACAACATGTAACCAATTTTTTATCTTTTCGACTGCTTATACGGCTTAAGTGTACATTCTTGAATACATTTGGAGTGTTGTACAGGCTCATTGGATAAGCCGGAGTCCATTTGGACTCAGTAGCTAAGTGTGTAACGCTATAATGTTTGAAACGAACGGTGCTGGGCTCGAGTCCCGGAGGGACCATGGACTGTGGGATGCATGTATATCCAACTGGCGAGTCCCCAGACAGGATGACCCCACTACTAGCCACTATCCATTTCTGCCTAAAAACAATTGGAGCAGTTTAACGCACTTAGTCCCTTTGATAAATCTGTGTAGTGTAATAGGGAGACGAAGATTATCAGAACTATGTGTTATATTAGCGCAATACATTTCAAACAATCTAATCACACATACTCGTTAAGAACATTTATAATATAAAAATAAATGGTCAACTAGACAAATGGAGGGTAAGAGGAAACGAAGATAATAAAGAAAATAATATGATAAGCAATGTGAAGCTCATCACGCTGGAGTAGTTTAACGTTTTAGATTTCGTAACTTTATATTGTATCTACCATCTGTTTCACTAGCCCGAAGGAAAGCATAACTTTTATTCAATAATCCAAATAACTTCATACAGTTTGTATTGTTGTGCGTACCATTCATATAGATTTATGACACGAATACTAAGAATATTCGCCTGTTGTATATATATATATATATATGACTTATGTTTGAAATTAGGCACAGGAGGCCAAGATCGATTCACTAATTATACTATTGAATAGATGTGTGTGTAACAATTATTTTTTTTTACATCCCATCACTTTTTTCTCCCGTGTATTGATATTTCTTACTTAAACTTTGATAGTTTAATAAGAACGATCCTATCAATCTTATTGATCCATTTTGTCTAAACTTCTCATCCGGCCGTGGTTAGTATTTGTGACTAGGCTTGCACTGATTACCAATTATCGTAGTCAACTGAAAGGAGTTCGGTAACTAGTCAATAATGTGTTGCGTTTTCCCTATAATGGCATATTCACTAGGCTAGTTTGCATGTTTCGTGTTGTATGTAGGTGATATGTAAAATTATTGAATAAAGTAACTGTAACCTCAGAAAAAGTTCTGTTTAACTTGTCAGTTAGTTCTTTTTAGTTAACATGGGTAAATATTCTTACTCCTACGTTATCTCTGACATCCAGTGCAATCTATTGGTGAAACTAATGCATGGTATCAGTGTTTATGAAGTTATTAACTAGTTCTGGTGGATGCAGAGTTCTGGCTGCGGTCCTCAGAATAATCGTTAAGTGTATAGCTGAAGACCCCAAATGGGAGTATGCCTTGAAATTAATCACATTCATTCCCCACTAGTGCTTGTTGTTAGCTACTTTAAATAATTCATCTGTAAAATATCAATCAATCGTCTCAGAATTCATTGTTTCTTCATTTCCACACCAATCATTCTCTGTTCTCGTTCTCTTTTCTTCAATCTTCTTAACCTTCTGCCGCCAAGCATTTCACTTTCTATTGTTGATACGTACTACTGATGTCGAGAGACATCAGTAGCATACACTACATCATTAATAGCACAATCAATGCTGTGGTTTTAATCTAGATATTTGTGTTCATTATCATCAACTCATTTGCTTAGTAAGTAGTCTGAATATATGGAGTTTCTTTGTTTAAAAGGAATAGATTAGTGTTATTCAA